TCAAGAAGACAAGCGTTATTAATAAATTCAATATAAATTCTATTACTACTACTGGCCAATCATTGGTTCATTTAACATGCACTAGTGGTAGTATATTATTAGTGAAGGTATTAGAGGAGTATGGTATTAATACAGGTTCATTAGATTTTGAGGGTCAGTCTGCAGTACATTATGCTGCTTTATCGGGTTCACCTACTCTACTCAGTTATATTGTATTTGAGTATAGGTTGAATGCCAGTCAACCAGACTACAAAGGTGTAGTACCATTAGCATTAGCTTGTATGTCAGGTAGTATCAATGCAGTAGAATATATTATGAATACTGCTGACATTGATATTAATATAACCTGTAATGAGGGTAGAACACCTCTTCATTATTCATGTCGTTGTGGTAATGTTGATCTGAGTCAATATCTCATTGAAGTACAAGACAGTGACATGAACATAACAGATAATGATAAATTTAATGCATTAAATCATAGTGCTAAAAATGGTAACATGAAGCTAGTTCAATACCTCATTAATAATCATCAATTGCCTCTCACATCATTTGTATTACTTCAAGCAGTATAACTATCATTAATTAAATTATTAATTAATGAATATAAACTAGATCTTCAAGTTAAAACTAGTGACGGTAGGCAAGCAGTTCTTGTTGCAGCTGAAGTTGGTGCTATTGATGTCTTAGAGTATTTAGTAAAAGATTGTGGATGTGATTTGAATAGAGTAGGTGGAACAAACAACATGAATGTGTTTCATCTTTCTACATTGAATGGTCAATTTTCATTTATTAAATATATTATTAATACTTATCCACAACATACTTATCTATTACATTCTACTAATGATAATGATGCCCTACCAATTCATGCTGCCTGTGCTAGTCGTGTAACACAACTAGTGACATTTCTAATTGATAAAATGAAATGTGATATCACAACTGAAGATAAGATTGGCTACACTTGTGTCACCAGGGCATGTACCTCTGGTAATCTTGATCTCTTAAAATTATTAATAAAACAATACAACCTTAATCCTAGAATATTTGGCAAATCATCATCACCACAAGTTGCAGTGGCAAGTGGAAATGTTCATATACTAGAATGGCTCAGGCAAGAGTATCATATCAATGTAGCCTCATTTAAGAATGGTGCATTACCTTTTTATGCTGCACATTTCAACAGTTTGTATTGTTTAAAGCATTTATTAAACAATTATTCATTTGATATTAATGCTATTAATCCTTTTGATGGTACTCATCCTACACTCCTTC